ACGGGAGGAACAGTCGGGGGCCGACTCTCAAGCATTCGCATGGTTGTTGCCTCTGTGTGCCTTCGGTAGAGGTGTTCTTGTGAGAGGCTGCTCTGCAGGGCCATTGGGCCCGTCCGCCCCGCACCCTGTCTGGATCACCCGACTTTGCCCTGCTGCGCAGGTCCGAAGGGGGTTCGCGGTTCTGGCGTGCGCGGGCATCAGCGGGGCTGCCCAGCGCGATCAGGTTCGGTTATCGGCCAGCACATCTCCCCTCTCCTCCCCCTCCAAGATAAGCCAAGCGATTTCGAATGTGGGGTGGTATGCTGAGGCGGCGGCGACAAGGGCGAATTGCCAAGGACTGGGCATGACATGCATTCGCCCGGGAGCCTGGCCGAAGACATGGATCATCGGCGCCCCTGGACAATTCGCCCCCATCGTCGCCCCCGAGTTTGTGGTCGGGATGGGGGGACGTGATTCTTTAGGCTTACGCCACACCGCCGACCCCTTGTTTTTTTTTGGAGGCAATCTTGGACGTCTTGGGGGCGTCATGGCCCGACTTTATCCCCCGCATTCCTATCGTCGTCGTCTTTGCTCCTCCTCCCAGTAGTCGGCCCATCCCGCCACCGTGCCTGAGTTGTGGTTCAGAGGCGTCTCAGATATTCGTTGGGATCTCGTGAGAAGCTTCTCGGGGGCCTGCAGGAGGCAGTTGGGAGGCACCTGGGGAGCTGCTTTGGGGCTTATTGTGGCCTTTTTGGGGCGGGCGGGGCGCCTCGAGCCCGGGCGAAGCGGGGACAGGTCTACCTCCGCCGATCGCTACGGGCCCGGGGCTCGCAGGGGAGATCGTGCGGACGCGCCGGAAGAGCAGGGCAGGTGGCGGCGTGGGAGGAGATGCGTTGGCCAGGAAAGAGTTGGTTGCGGCGTGGAACGGGGGAGGGTGTAGCGATGGGGCGGAATGCGGCGGCAGATGCGAGAGGGGCGCGCCTGGCGACGCTGCGGGCCGCGAGGCTGCGGATAAGATCGAGACACCAGTGGCGGACGAGGCGCAGGAGTGGTTCTTTGCGGCCCGCGTGAACCCGGACTCACAAGATCCTCGGAGGAACCGAGAAAAGGCTGTGGCAGAGGCGGCGGAGCTCTTGCGGGAGTCCCCGGGCGTGCCAGGTGACCCGGAAGACCCGTCCGTGCCGTGGGGGGAAGCGTTGGCCGAAGACTGTGCGGTTGAATTACCGTCCGCGCACTGCGCGTTCCGCGGCTGTCGATGGTCGGGGAACAGAGAAGCGGACTCGATCGAGCACGTGGCCGTGGGGCACGGGGACGTTCTACAGCCAATCGCGGACACGTACTCCCCGGCGCACGAGGAAAGCGAGAGTATTCTGGCGGCGCACAGCGAAGTAGTGTCGCAGAAGACGCGGCAGGACGCGCCGCTCTCCACGTATGCAATGCATCGACGCAGCCTGAAAGGATATGCGGACGCGACAGTCAGCAATAATGTGTGTGCGCCTATATGCTTTCTCTGCGCTTGCTCGTTTCCCTGGGTGGCCGACCGGGAAAACAACGATATTTCGTGGGAGAAATTGTTTGAGAGCGATCCAGAAGATAGCTCCCGAGTAGCGCGCATGGGTGCGTGGTCCATTTTGGACGCGTCGCGTGAGTTCGGTCTCCTGGCGTACTTTCGGAGGTACAGGTGCGAGGAGGGAAACGAGAAGCTCGACCTGATGAAACATTTGAGAGAGTTCGACGATTGGAAGCTGCGCGTGCAGTGCTCTCGTGAGTCAGGGGTGCCCGGGGGCGGGTTCGACCTGTTGTGCTGTCCAGAGGATGTGCGTTGCGCGGGCGGGTGCGTGGAAGGGAAGACCGCGTGTCCAGAGTGCGAAGTGCCAGTCTGTCGGGAGTGCGCCGAAGGCATCAATACCCCGAAAATGAAGTGGGGGGACGTGATTTTTCGAGCCAGGGGATGAGGACTTCGCGGGGAGCGGTATCGTGGTCCAGGTGGGAAGAGGCCTGTCGCGGGCGTTGGGCGCCATGACCCCGGTCAGGTAACAATGCGCATGGTATGTTATGCATTTCGAGGTGCCACGGGAGCTCTGTGCGCAACCTATCCAACCCACTGTTGTTGACAACAAATTCGGAACAGGTGGAGCGGTACTGCACGGGGTGCTTGCCGCAACCAATTGATGGGGACTTGGGCATGTGGGGGACATCGCAATGTGGTGACGCGCGGGGTGTCTTGTGCAACCTGTGGCGCAAATCGCCGGAGCCTGGGGCGTCTGGCGCACTTCATGGAGCGGTCGCGGTGCGTGGGAGGTAGACAGGGTGGGAAGTCGCGGTTCTGAGTTTCCAGGCACTGCGGGGTTTGGCTTGGGTCTGCCATGGCATCCATGGTCCGTCGGGATGGGCGCGCCAGGCGTTCTCGGGACCCTGTGAGGGGGCCTCGACAGGAAAGGATGATGAGGGGTGGCCCCCCAGGGACCCCCGGCGCGCGACAGGCGGCACAGACACTTTCAAGCGCTGGCGGGGGGGGGAGGATGGTACGCGGCGGCGGGGGCGGGGGGCACACGATGACATCGTAGCCTTTGGCCCAAGCCATTGGCAGAGGTGGGGAGGGACAAGTTATGACATCCGTCCTCCGCAGCCGTTAGCTAAAGCCGTTGGCTGAGCCGCTGGTGGTCCAGGCCTCGGGCGGGCTCTCCAGTGCGGTCGGCGCACAGTCGGCCCAGATCAGTAGGTCGACCTTGCCAGATCCTGGTTCCTATGCATCGCGCGTCGTGTCCTCTGCAGTCCCGGGGCAAGGTGCCCTTGTCGGAGGCCGTTCTGCCGTCGGAAGAGCTTGCTGCCCGTGGAGAAAAACAGCCATCCAGGCGATGGAGGGTGGGGCAACCGTGCGCCTAGCCAGCGCCGGCGCGGAGCGCAGGAACAGGGAACGACCGGGCACAGCAGCTGCCCATCGGCAGCGCAGAGTAACAAGGGGCGCCTCGTGGAGACGCCCCGGCGCCCTCATGCCAGCGTGCGCCTTGAGACGTCTAGCAGCTCGATCTGCCTCCCCCCGATGCCCGTCGAGGGAGGGCGACGAGGCGCGGTCGCCGCCGCCAGCCAGGGACCTGACCCAGGTCGGGCCAGAAGCGGGCGCCAGACCCCTCTCTCCCTCCTCTCTCCTCCTGCCTCCGTCCTCCTCCATCCCTCTCCTTCCCTCCTCCCTCCCTCCCTCCCTCCCTCCTCTGTCCTCCTGTCTTCCTCTCACCTATCCCTCCTCTCCCTTCTCCCTCCCCTCCCTCCTCCCTCCCCCCCCTTCCATCCTTCGCCCCATTCCTTTGCCTTCCTCCCGTCGCCATCCTTCCCTTCCCTCCTCCCTCCCCATCCATCCTCTCTCCTCCTGCCTTCCTTCTCCATACCCCTCCCTCCCTCCTCTCGGCGGCGAGCGACGGGGGGAAGCGAGCAGGAGACGGCTTTTTCAGGAGGCGGCGCCACTTCTCGGAGGCCCTCGCGCCCGAAGCACGCCGAGCCTTCGGGGAGAGCTCGGCAGCCGGGGCCTTCTGAGGAGGCCTGCCCCTTCTCGCTCCCCCCCTGGGCGTGCCGCCCGTCCTCCCTCCTCCCTCCCCTCTCCTCCTCCCAGTGTCCTGGCCGCTCTCCCTCCCCGCCTCCCTCCTCCCTTCCCTCCTCCGCCATCCTCCCCCTCCTCCTCCCAGGGTTCTGGCCGCTTTCCCTCCCTCCGCCCCCTCCCCCCAGTGTTCTGGCCGCTCTCCCTCCCCTCCTCCCTCCTCCCCCTCCTCCCAGTGTTCTGGCCGCTCTCCATCCCCCCCTTCCTCCTCCCCCTCCTCCTGCTCCCTTCGCCGGGAGGTGCCAGCCGCTGGCGATGACGAGGAGAAGATGGGCAACTCGCTGTTCTGCTTCATGGCCTATCTGCCCGACTCGTCAGAGGCCGCCTTCGGGGGTATCCTGGGGGCACTTCTTTTCTCCCTCCCTCCCGCGCTCTCTCTCGCCCTCCCTCCCGCTCCCTATCTCGGTTCTCTCTCTCTCTCTCTCTCTCTCTCTCTCTCTCCTTCTTCTCTCGACCTCACACTCTCCCTCTCAATCTCTCTCTCTCTCTCTATTTATCTTTCTTGTTGCATTTGGGAATGTATGCATGCATGTCTATATATATAGATATGTACATGCATGCATGCATACATGCATGCATACATACACATACACATACACATACACATACACATACACATACACATACACATGCACACGCACATGCACATGCACATACACATACACATACACATACATCTATGTATATATATATATATATATATATATCGCCGTCGCCGCCACATCTTCCCGCTCCTCACCTTCATCCCCGCTTCCCATGCCTCCCCCCCCCCTTTTGCCGCCTCTGCTGGTCCCCTGTCCGTCTCTTCTCGGGCCCTCGGCGTGCCTTCCTCCGGTGCTCGTGGCCCTGGGGCCGGCCCCTCGGTCGCTCTCACAGGGGGCATGGAGGGCGTGACGAGCCTCCTCGGCACGCGCGCCCTCCTCCTCCCCCCTCCCCGCGCCCCTTCCCTCCTGCCTTGCCCGAAGAAGGAAACGCGCCATGTGCATCATAAACTTTCGGCGCTCCGCGCGGATTTCGCGCTGGGCCCCCACGGCGGCGCCTCCGGCGCTGCGCGCGCCAAGGGGGGGGGGGGTCCAGCGCAGATCGAAGAAGTCCGCGCGGAGCGCCAAAAGTTTATGTTCATGACGCTTTCTCTTCCTTCTGCTTACCACGTCCATCCTCCGCCGCCGACCCAGGTGGGTAGAGAGTCTCGAGCACGCGTTGTTTTCTTTGTCAGCCCACGAGAACACCCCCCGGGACGTTCTGGAAGGGGCTCCGCCAGAGCGTGCCGAGAGGAGGGGTTTGGGAGGCTGGGCGGGGGGCCAGGCCGGCAGTTCATGCGCACGCCGCCCCCCCATCCTCCTCCCCTTTCCTGGGGCGCTGGGGCCTCTTCGTCTGGTGGAACTCGTCTCCGTCCTCTCCTCCTCCTCCTCCTCCTTCTCCTCCTCCTCCTCCTCCTCCTCACCCTCCTCCTCCTCCTCCTCCTCCTCCTCCTCCTCCTCCTCCTCCTCCTCATCCTTCTCCTCCTCCTCGTCCTCCTCCTCCTTCTCCTGCGCATCCTCCTCCTCCACCTCCTTCTCCTCCTCCTTCTCATCCTTCTCCTCCCCCTCCCGGCGGACACGGGGAGGGGGCAGCGGCGGGGAGGCCAGAGGGGACTGTTCAGCCACCGCTTCCAAAACGACACGATGTCTGCCATCCGCAGCCCGCCCAGTGGCAGCGAGAGAGGGGGGGGGACGATGACCAGCACAGGCTGAGGATGCACCAGCGATGCTGCACAGTCTGATGCTGGAATCCCGCTTCGCTGCGGAAAGTGCCCACTTGGCAGACGAGTTTCTCATGGTAATGTGGTTAAGGCGAGAGCGGGCATCCTTCTTCCTGGCTGTAAGGACGACCACGAGGCAACACCATGGAGCCCAACGGAGGCGTCCAGCAAGTGCCCCGCCTCGAAACGTGGGCGCCCCCAATCAATGTAATGGGTCCTCCCTCTCCTAGGAGCGAAATGTAATCCTCCTCCTCCTCCTCCTCCTCCTCCTCCTCCTCCTCCTCCTCTTCCTCCTCCTCCTCCTCAACAATGTAATCAGAAAACGTGATTACGTCTCGAGCGAGAGCCCCGCTCTGAAAGGCAGGCGCAATATATATATCTGGGCAGTTGGTTTACGCACCTTCGACCTCTGGCGAGAAAGGGCAAGAAAGTATCCAACGGCCCTTCCATGTTGAAAGAAGGCTGCCCTCCATCTGAATAGCCGTCGAAAGCTTTGAAGACGAGGGCGCGCAGCGCCAAGGCTAGATCTGCCTCTTGAAAATGGCCCGGACATCATCCTTGCAGTTGTTGGCGTTCTCCGCCACGATGCCTCCTGGCAGGTTGAGGCGTGGTAGAATTCCGAGTGCCGTCTGCTAGGATTGCCGTCGTCTTCCGTTGGGCCCTCCCTCCCAGCACAAAAAATCCAGGTGCCATATCCCCCCTCTCCTCGGCAACGATCCCTCGTAACCTCCTCCTCCTCCTCCTCGTCCGCGCTCCCAGGGCCCCGACCCCTTGCGAGAAGCAGAGGGTCCGCCCGTCCAAGCTTCCAGGATGGCCGAAGCAGACAACCGAGGCCGGCAAGGTGGCCCAATGCGTGTTTGTCGCCGCGCCGTTTGTTCTGTCGCGCGGCCTTCTGTGTTGGGGAGGGCGCCTCGGCCACCAGGGCAAACGCCACCTCGGGCGAAGCGCTTGCCGTAGGTTTGCTGCGGTGCCGGCTTCGTCTTCTTGGTCGCGTGACGCAGGGTTTGCCGTGGCTTTGCCATTGTGTCGGCATCGTCCACTTGGGCGCGTCGAGAACAACTTGCGCGGCGACATCTGAGATGACCCAAAATGGCCCCAAGGAGGCCCAAGATGGTTTCACGACGGCCGAAGAGACCCGCAAGACGGGCCCCGAGGACCACCTCATGATCCTCAGTAGGGCCTGGGGGTTCCAACTCGTTGATTTCCCGTTGGTTTTAAAACGTTTTCTCGGCGTGGTCCCAAGTCGGGCCACAAAGTCTAGAAGATTGACCAACCACGGCCCAAGAGGACCCCCGGCCCCAAGAGAGACCCAAGTTGGTTCAAGAAAGCCTCTAGAGGGATCCTAGACGGCCTTAAGAGGGTCCCTCGACGGCCCCAAGTCGGCACCATGAAGAGACCCCCTGAACGGCAGCGATGGCCCCAAGACGGCCAAAGGGAGGCCTAAGGTGGCCCCACGACGGTCCAGGAGGGCCTCGGGGAACCCCCAGGGTTGCCCCACAGGAATCCAAGGCAGCCCCGAGACGGCCCAACTGAGGCTCATGAGAGTTTCTCCAGGAGGGGAGGAGGAGGTGGAGGAGGAGGAGGAGGAGGGGAGGACGAGGAGGAGGAGAGGAGGAGGAGGAGGAGGAGGAGGAGGGAGGAGGAGGAGGAGGAGGAGGAGGAGGAGGAGGAGGAGGAGGAGGAGAGGAGGAGAGGAGGAGGAGGAGGAGAGAGGAGGAGGAGGAGGAGGAGGAGGAGGGAGGAGGAGGAGGAGGAGGAGGAGGAGGAGGAGGAGGAGGAGGAGGAGGAGGAGAGGAGGAGGAGGAGGAGGAGGAGGAGGAGGAGGAGGAGGAGGAGGAGGAGGAGGAGGAGGAGGAGAAGGAGGAGGAGGAGGAGGAAGGAGGAGAGGGAGGGAGGAGGAGGAGGAGGAGGAGGAGGAGGAGGAGGAGGAGGAGGAGGAGGAGGAGGGGAAGGAGGAGGAGGGGAAACGTGACACATGTGACGTCCTTCGGTCCTCGAGGCTCTGCCACCCCAAAACAAATGACCTGGCACGTCGGCGGGTTTCGCCGCAGGCACCCGGTACCGAGCCAGCCAAGAACCCTGGGCGGCGATTGCTCGGGGGGGGCCTCTCTTTTGCTCCGAAGCTTTTTGGAGAGCTGCAGCATGCGTCATCGATTTCCGCGTCATGTCGGGGGTTCTTTCCTCGTTTTCCGCCCTGTCGTCCGTCTTGCCTTGGGTTCCTGCTGGGCAGTCTTGGGGGTTCCTTGGGGCCCTCTTGGACAGCCTTGGGGTCCGTTTGGGCCGTATTGGAGCCCTCCTTGGCAGTATGTATTAGGGGTCTCTTGCGCCCGCCGTGTGTTTGTCTTGAGGCCGTCGAGAGGCCCTTGAAAGCGGTATTAGGGGCTCTCTTCGGGCCGTCTTGGGCCGTCCAGGGGCCTTCTTGGGCTGTCTTAATGCCGCTTTCGAGGATGATTGATCAAGTCTGGGGCCCTCGTGTGCCGTTGTGGGGTCGCCTTGGAGGCCTCCAGGGCTGTCTGGAACTGAAGGACATCCGAACAGGTGAAGCTGTCACCATGTTTAGGCATTCCCAGGACTAGGTGGGGGTCCTCCTGTGGCCCTCTTGGGCCGTCATTTGAGGCCATCTTCGGCCATGTTTGGGCCATCTTGGGCCGTCTAGGATCCTTGTTGTTCTTTGTTTGATTAGGGGCAGGAGCTTCGGGAGAAGGGGGGCGGTGCACGCATCGAAGTGTGAGGAGGGGGGGGGGAGGCCCCTCAGAGGATTCAGGAAACCCTACGAGGCAGCACTTGGCATTCTACCACGCCTCAACGTGCCATGGGTCACTGTGGCGGATTTCAGACGAATGCGCGCGGCGCCCAAGCGGGATCCCCATGTTGAATGAGCCGCCCTCCGTCCGTGCAACTGCTCGGGACCTCTGAGGACGACTGTGCGCAGCGCTGAGGTGGGAGCCACGTCTTGAGGAGGAGCCGCCCTCCGTCCGTGGAGCTGTCGGGGACTTGTGAGACGAAGTGGCGCGGAGTGGGGGCGAGAAGCGCCCATTGAAAAGGGAGCGCTCGCCGTTCGTGTAACGGTTGGAAGTTTGTGAGACGAATGTGCGCGGCACTGGGGCGAGAGCCACTTGAAAACTACCCGATCGCCATCCGCACATGTGCTGCGGCCTTGTCCGCGCGTTCGTTGTGGCGCCGAGGCGATATGAACCTTTTGAAAACGGCCCGTGCTCCACCTGCGTCGCTGGTGGAAATTTCGAGGACGAGCGCGCAAGACGCGAATGCGAGACACACATTTTGAGAACGGCCCCCCCCCCATACGGGTAGGCGTTTGTGACTCAGAACTGCGGCGCCATACGTCGGGGAAAACACACCCGGCCCGCCTGTCCGACGCGTTTTTGGCTGAAAGACGAGGGTGAGGTGTAACGATTAAAAAGGTGCAGGATCATTGACGTTAAGTCTGGCCTGTCCCTCTACAGGAGGAGTATTCAAAACAGTCAAACATAGTCAGGGGACGATTGTTTGACCATGTCTGAGTGATTTTGAACTCAGTGGTGCAGTTTTGATTTTTCGTCTAAAATCCGCATGTAGCGGGACACGCCCGACCTAACATTGACGGAGGAAAAGGGGTAGGAGGAAGCAAGCGCTCCCTACACACGCTGCCCTCGCGGCCTCATCCACCCTCTTCCTTTTCACCCATCCACTTCGTGACCTCGCCCTCAGGGTAGCTCTTTCTCCGAATCGCCTCCTCCGTCGCCTCCTCCTCCCCAAGCGCCACCTCAAGCAGAGATTGTCCACAGCTTGGCCACTACTGGTGTTCCTCGTCGTCGCGCCCTCCTTCTGCCTCCCCTTCGTCTCCCTTCTCCTTCCTCGTCCTCGTCCTCCTCCTCCACCTGCTCTTCATTATCTTCATCCTCCTCCTCCGAGGAGGAGGAGGACAAGGAGGAGGGGGCAGGAGGAGGGGGCATGAGGACGAGGACGAGGGAGGAGGAGGAGGAGGACGAGGAGGAGGAGGAGGAGGAGGAGGAGGAGGAGGAGGAGGAAGGAGGAGGAGAGGAGAGGAGGGGGGCAGGAGGAGAGGAGGAGGAGGAGGAGGAGGAGGGGAGGGAGAGGAGGAGGAGGAGGAGGAGGAGGAGGAGGAGGGGGGCAGGAGGAGGAGGGGGGCAGGAGGAGGAGGAGGGGGGCAGGAGGAGGAGTGGCTCCTCCCCCGTTGCCTCCCGCCCTCGGACCCTTCGGCCTCGCCGTGCGCCCCCCCTCCCGACGAGGTGGGCCTCATGGAGGTCGCGAAGGAGCTGAACGCGAGCATCTTCGGCTGCGACTCCAGCTCAATCTACGAGTCCTGGTCGTCGGGCTCCCCCCTCGAGGGCCGCCAAGAGAAGAGCACGCCGGCCCCGGAGGAGCCCAGGCCGAGGAGGCCGTTGAGCGTCGTTTTCGGGCCCTCGGGGGGCCTGCCAGGGGCCCCAGGACAGTCAACATGCAGGAGGGACAAGAACACACAGGCACCATTAATCGTCGATCCCTCAGAAAATATGGGAAGATGTGGGAAGTGGGGGGGGGAGACAAACACCCAGAAAGTATGGGAAAATACAGGGAATCCTGTTAGTTGTGTCTATTGGTTTGTGTGTCCCAGGGCCCCTTCACAAAGCACGGCTCCGGGTGGAGGACTGGCCACGGTGACCATCCCCAGGATCTCCAGCATGCGTTTCCGTCGGGGCCCGTTCCCCATCCATGCCATCAGAAAGGACAGGTGTTTCAGGATGCCATGAGTCGATTGACCTTCGTGGGCCTTTTGGAAGCCTCCAGGGCCTCAAGGACTTCTCAGGGGCCCACGGAGATCTCTGGAGGACCCCGTCTCCCTGTTCCATCCTCCTCCTCCTCCTCCTCCCTTTCCTCGTCCACCTCCACAACCCCTTTTCCTCCTCGCTGTTCCCTCCTTCATTCTCCCTCGCCCCGTCCTTCCCTCCTCCTTCACCATCCTTCCTGATCCCCATCCTCGTTCCCGTTGCTGATCCTCACCCCATGCTTTGGTCGAAAAAAGCGTGACGCGCGCGGGGAGGGGGCCCGGCCCCTCTCGTCGGACACTATTGCGTTGGGCCCAGATATTGAACAGAGCGCTGCTGCTCCTTTTTCCCGTCTCGCCCCCCCTCCATTGTTCCCGCCTCCTCCATTTCTCCCTCCTATTGTGAAGCCGGGCCTGCCACTCTACAGGCGGAATATTCAAAGATAGTCAAACATTACTCTGAGGACGATTTTCTGACTTTACTTCACCATTTTGGATTATTTTTTCTGGTGTAAAAAAATCATCCAAAATCCCCATATAGGGGGACACGCCCGACCTAATCCTACTGCCACCCGCTTCCTTCACGCTACCTGATTCCTACCTTGCCTCCTAGTGCTGTCGCAAGTGTGCAACGATCGTAAATTGGTTGAGACTGGGAGTTCAGCTGGGTGCGTTGCCGCGGGGATCCCAGCGAGACGTCGCCCCTCCTGGGCGGTGCCAGTTTTGCACTTGTCATCGCTGTTGTGAGTTGGTGGGGGTTCAGCGGAGTGCCATGCCCCCGCTCTCCCTGGGAGGTTCCGACTGCGCAATTGTCGCCAATTTCCTGAGCTTGTTGGGGGGGGGGGAGCGGGTCCAGCCGAGCGCAGCGCTGGGGGATCCACTCGAGATTTTCCCCTCCTTCGGTGGTGTCAACTGCGAGATTGTTTTCACGTCCGTGGGATTGTGCGGGGTCAGCGGGGTCCGGGGCAACGGAGTACCAACCTAGACGTCACCCCTCTTGGGTGGTGCTACTTGCGCACATGTGGCCTCTTTCGGGACATTGTTTGGGGCCACCTTTGGAGCGGAGCAAGGTCAAGTCCTCAATGAAGGAAGTGATTTATGTTAGCCCGCGTGGACCCCAAACACTATGTTTCTAGCAACCCACGATGTACAACTTATTTCGTGCAACTTATGTGGTCCGATGAAATGTAGTTCGCAGTGAATTGTGAATTCCACTGCTCGCGCAATCATCCCACCCACCCATCCACAACTTGGTTTGCAAACCCATGCGGCGGCGATTGCGATGACTGCGAACGTCCAAAATCCGCCTGTAGGGGGACATGCCCGACCTAGGGGTAGGCCGGCGTGCCGCCGCTACGTGGGGATAGGCTATTCCTTTGTCGCCCAGTCTTCCAATGGTTATGAGGCTACTCGGCAAGTCATGGTAATCAACTCAAGTGGCGCCCCGTGCGTTCCCTGAGTGTAGAGGTTTAGTTTTGACACCCAACGCGCACTAGGTATCCCCGTCTGCCAACATCGTATCCCCGCTCGCCGATGTGGCCGCCTGGCGCTCCTATGTCCTGGGCTCCCCGTCTTCTATGTCTGCGCGCATGTGTGGCCCGCGTGGCCAAAGCCAAATGATCTTGGCTTCGGGGGCGCCGCGCCCCGGGACCCCTGTCAGTGGTGCCAGCGCGGCGTTCCTCTGCGCGCAGGGGCGCAGGGGCATGTTCAGCTACGGTGGGGGCATTGATTGAGGAATGTGCCCAGGAGGTTTCAGCCCCTTCAGGATGCCTTGTCTGACGAGGGCGGCGATGGTATCCATGGCCAATCCACGGTTGGATTTCCACGGGCTTCCAGACCCTGGATTCCTTATCCAATGGTTCCTTATCCAATGCCCTCACCGTGTTCCGTAGCCATTTTGGCTCAAGTCTGCTCCGCCGCGCGCGGCGCGGGCGGCTGGGTGATGGCGACGGGGGGCTGCCCGACCGGGAGGCGGCCCATGCGCGTGCAGGAAGATGCTCTTCTCGGCGCCACGGCAGCGCGGCGCGCGGCGCGGCGCAGGCGGCTCCTGGCCTGCGAAGCTGGCCTACGCCGGGCGCTCGGGGACAGAGGCGGCGCGGGGCCTGGATCCTGGAGGGACCGCGAGGCGGCTTCCCGCCCCGCCGCGCGAGCAGCTGCGTGGCAGCTCCCGACTTCGCCGCAATGTGGCGTGGCATGCTGCGCAGCCGCCTGCGTGTGGGTTTGCCCAGGCCTCGAGGGCAGCCCTTGAGGAGGCCGCTGCAGGGCCAAGGCTCGTGGCCTTTGGCGGGGGCGCAGCGGGGCCCGAGGGCGCGCAGAAGCTGGAGCAGGCGGTCCCGCAGGTGCAGCAGTCGGTGCTGCACGAGGAGCAGCTCCAGGCAGAGCCCGAGGGCGACCTGGGCGAGGGCTTGCTGGCGCCAGGCTGCTGGCAGAAATGCGACCCTGAGCTGGAGGCGCGGGCCTTCGGAGAGGGCGTCGCTTGCGGCTGGCGGCTGGCGACGCGGCGCGCGGAGGCCTCGATGGGCGCCCCCGCAGCCGAGGCCAGCGGCGGCTCCGAGAGCACTGTGGAGTGCGACGTGGAGTCGGAGAAGGAAGTTCCCACCTGCTCGTCTGTTTGTTCGCGCGGCATCAGCGACAAGATGTGGAGAGCAAGGTCGGGGATTTCTCGCACGTGGTTGGAGCCGCCCCCGCGGGAGGCTCGGCGCCAGGCGTGCGACGATGCGGCCGATGACGCGCACAGCAGAGTGATTGCGGCCGAGTCCGAGGCGGAGCTGTTCTTCCTCGACTGGTTCGGGCAAGACTCTGAGTGCGGCATCGATAGGGTGAAGCTCATCCAGGAGTTCGTGGACGAGGGCTTCGACATCGGCTTGATGCTCGACTTCCTCGGCTCCCCTTGGTTTCTGGAGCGCTTCACCGAGATCGACGGCGTCATCCACTGCATCGAGGACTGGGACGCCGAGAGCGCAGGCGGCGGTGACGCCTGGGAGGACCTTTTCGGCGGTGGCGCAGCGGCAGCAGGGCATCGACGGCGATGGCAAGGAGCTACCGCATGCGGCCGAGGACGCGCACAGCATGGAGCTTGCGGCAGAGTCCGAGGCGGAGCTGGACGACCGTGCGGGCCTCTTGGCGGAGGACCAGATCACGGCGCAGTTCCGAGACGCGTCGGCAGGCCTCTTGGCGGACCTTGAGGCGCAGCTGGCGCGCGTGCGGGCGAGTAGGTAGTCGGCCTGCCGCCCCCTCTTTCGAATTCACGCATGAAACCTCCGCGGGGCTCGTCGCGCGGAGCCCACAGAGATAAAAATGCCCTCACCGTGTGTGCCACGTTACCTTGAAGGGCCCCCTTTTGCGTGAGGCGGACTTTAGCAACTAGGCTGTAGCGTTCTGGTGGCAGGGAAGAGAGGCAGCAACACCGCCTCCGTGCAGACAGCGGAGCAGGAGGTCTAAAGAGGAGCGGAAAAGTGGAGGGCACTTGAGGGTACAGAGTATTAGAACTTCTTATCCTTCCTCCTCCCTCCTCTCCAGTTTGCCATCGCCGAGCAAGCTCCAGCGCACTCGAGGTGCAGCCCGCATGTAGCAAGGTATTGGTGCAGATGTAGCCCACACTGTTGTCCAGCTGTCGCCCAGATTCAGGCGAAGATTTCACCATGGGGGAAGCGGGTCCTAAGGGAAACGGGCCTTGAGAGGTTTTTAACCGTTTTCGGGCTTTCGGGGTCCTCCACGGGCCCCGGGACTGTCAGAAAACGTTTCAGAATGAGAACTTCGTCATGGGGGAAGGCACCAGGGTCCATGACTCGTTTCCATCAGGACCCGTTTCCCCCATGCTAAGAATTAGCCCAACAGTCATTAGGAACGCTTGAGAAAGCCATGCCAGACCAAACATGGGAAATCGCCGAACGGGCGTACAAGATCTTGCAACGAGAATGAGGCGGGGATTGTCCACGGCAATTGAGCCCAGTGTTAGCCCAATGTTGGTCCAGCGTGAGTCTGGATTAAGCCCGGGTGTATGGCGAATTGTTACCGAGATTTTTGACTAGTTTCAGCCCGGCCGTTGGCCGTCTGATCGCAGACGGCGCACGGCGAGTGCGAGGCGAGAGGATGAGGAAGAGATGCGCGAGGAGCAGCAGTGGGAAAAAGGAGGAGGAGGATGGGGAGGAGGAGGAGGAGGAGGAAGAGAATGTTGATGCGGCTGGGAGGCGGAGAAGCTGCACACGGCAAGGCGTGGCAACCTCAAGGGTCGCAGCATGGGGCGTGTGCACTGCACGCAAGTGCCGCCACAAACCCCGGACTCGTGCAGGGCAGTGCAGCGCACTCGTCTGGATGCAGGTGGTAGTGTGAAGTCGGGCCTGTCCCTCTACAGGGGGGATGTCCAGAAATAGCAGCAAAAATAGTCGGGGGACGATGTTTGGAGTATTTTTTGCAATTTTTGAGCATGTTCGGGGTATGTGTTTTATGTTTCGTCCAAAGCCCGCCTGTAGGGAGACATGCCCGACCTGGTGGTAGTGCGACGAAGATGTCGCCAGGTCGAGGCCGTGCCTCGGGGGGCTGGCGACCCCTCTCTGCTCCTGAGGGGGCCGGGCGGGGGTCTGAGCGAGGCGCCGCGGTACCCCCGCCGGGAGATCCAGATCCACATCTAGCCACTGTTCATGCCTAATTTTTCGAAAGTTCTCGATTTTGTTGGGGGGCCAGGATTCTTCCATTTCCAATTGTTTTATCCTGGGCCTCTTCCTGGCCACTAGGGGGCCAGGAACAGTTAGAAACGAGCACAGTTAGAAATGAACACGATTAGAAATTAACAATGTGTAGCCATGTTTGGTCCCTCCGCCAGATCTGGACATCCCTGAGGAGTGCACCGAAACAGGTAGCGAGCAGCGTCGTCACGGGGGGAGGGGGAGGAAGTGGATGGACGAGGAGGAGGAGGAGCAGGGGGTGGCCTGAGGAGGAGAAGGGAGGGAGAGGGAGGCACGATGGACAGTGGGGTCAGGCTCTGCGGGCTGGGACACTGGCGAGTCCACGATCACCAACACCGACGTCTTCCTCAACGTGTGGCAGCAGGCGGGAGTTTCGGGGAACAGGCAGCGACGCAAGCATAGAATCTCTGCCGTTTTCGTGCTTCTGCCACTGCCTGTTCCCCTGGTGCTGGCGGAAATGTCGGCCGATCTCCATCGGCGTCGGGATCCGGTCGGCGTCGTCGCGTTCTTTCCCTCAGGGGCAACGATAGGGGGGATGGGCATAAGGGGGGATGCACTGACCCCCAATCGCCCAGTGATCGCCCACAGGGGCCCGATAGCCCTAGCCTGCCCAGGAAGGTGCGGATTCACTACAGGAGGCCTGTAGCCGATCTATCGACGATGTATCGCCGATTCCAGCTGCGATGCGTCCCCCCCGATGCCCCCCCCCCCCCCCCCTATCGTTGCCCCTGGGAATCCCAGGGGAGCGCCCGGGGGCACCAAACGGCGCCCACCGCTCGCCCAGGCGGGCGGCGGGATTTGCGCACATCCACGGCCCACCGGCTGAGGCCCTCGCGGTCGTCGTCGTCGTCGTCGTCGTCGTCGTCGTCGTCGTCGTCGTCGTCGTCGTCGTCGTCGTCGTCGTCGTGGTCGTGGGGAGCGCGCCGATGTCGGCCAGACTGGGGCCTCTCCGTGCCGCGCCGAGAATGCCGCTGGGGCGTCCCCGAAGTGCTCGCCCCCTCCGCGCGCCGCTGCGACGCCGGGATCGGCGCCCCCAGGTGTTCGAGGAGGGCAAGTGGCTGACGGCGGACTGGACCGTCAAGGTTCAGGAGAACAAAAAAAAGAAGCACAGACACCATTCATCGTCAATCCCCAGGAAAATATGAGGAGTCCTGTCATTTGTGTCTAACTATTTGTCAGAGCCCCGAATCATCAGGGGTAACTCGGGTCAGGGATAACTCGGGTTCGTTTTTCGGGAATCCGAACCCGAGTTACCCCGGACCCGAGTTACCCTGGATAATTCGGGCGTCCAGAGCCCCAAAATCATCAGGGGTAACTCGGGTCAGGGCTAACTCGGGTTCGTTTTTCGGGAATCCGAACCCGAGTTACCCCGGACCCGAGTTACCCCGGATAACTCGGGCGCCCAAGTTTATGATCATGTGTCGTCCGATCTCTTCCTGGAAAGGTGGACCCGGACGCGGTGCTCGTCGCCGAGCGCCTGAAGGGGCACATCTGGGACCTGAATGCGCCGGCCTACAGGCCCATCTACCTGAAGAACAACGGCATGGACCCAGGCGCTGTGGCGGGCAGGCGGGGAGGTGGAGGAGCCCAGAGCCCCTCGCGTCGTGAACCACGATCAAGCCGTGTTCCACGGTGGAAGCCCAAGCCAAGAGACACCTTGCTTGCCTCGAGGGTGCCCTGGGCTTCTCGGGTTCCGATGGTGTTGCTAATTATGGCAAGCGTGAGGCTCCCGCACCAAAGATCAGTGGACGTCCTGGGGTCTCACGGTTGGATTTCTTGTGGAATGTTTCTTGTGGTCGAGTTCCTAATGTATGTTGTTTGGTACGTTTTTGCATCAGGAGTCCCCAGCCAGGTCCCGATACCGTTAAGAAACGATTCAAGTTTGAAAGCCCGACGTGACGAAGAAGTCGGGACATCCAGGGGTCCGCGGTGTGCAAACATCACGACGTCGGGGATCCGAGGAGGAGGGATGGGCGCGAGTGTTTGCTTTGTGAACTCGTCTCGCGCATCCTGAAAAGTGCATATTCCTCTCGGGCGTGGACTCGAACGCCCCCGTCGAGGTGTTAGCGACTCCTGAGCAGCTAGTGTCATTTTCCTGACCCTCGGTTCTGAAGGCTTGGCTGTGGGCCTCAATCTTAGGAGAAGTCTTCTCAGTTCAAGTCTTTAGCGTAGTTGGTAGATCAAGGCGTGGAGCATTGCCCTCGGATAGCCCATAGGTCCTTCAGCTGCGGACAAGGCTCCATGGTGGGAGACCGTAACGCTGATCAAGCTCGCGCCCTGAAGGCGGTGATCTCCCTGTTCATGTCTTCAACTCATTTCTCCTCGACCCTGGTCTCCCTGGTCCTAGCACGTCTCTTCCCTTTGCTGTCCACCTTACTCTCCCCCTCCCCATCCTCCTCCTCCTCCTCCTCGTCGTCCTCCTCCTCCTCCTCCTCTGTCACTATGTTCCCCAAAACCTCCCGCCTCCTCCGCTCTTCCCCTCCGCGTCTTCAGAACTCCTCATCACCAGCGCCATCCTCAACAGCATCGTCAGCAGCAGCACCAGCATCATCATTGGCAGCAGCAGCATCCGCTCTCGCAGTTGCGATCCTCCCCTCCGCCACGTCCTCTTCATCTTCTTCGTTCTGCGATCCCTCCCTCCTCCCTCGACTGGCGCACACGCGTGCCCTTACAGTTCTTGGCTGAAGTCGGGCACGTCCCACTACAGGACGAACATTCAATAATAGCACAAACGTCGTAAGGGGATGTTTTTTTGTTGAGCATGTTTGAATCATGTTTGAATCTGATTTGGCTAAAACTTTTAGTCGAAAACCCCCTTTTAAGAGAACATGCGCAATTCAATGCTTGGCCCGCAGCGACAGAAGATTCGTCGGGGTCGAAGCAACGGCAGGCTGTGCCGTGGCAAATTGCGCTCGCAGAAGTGGTGAGGGAGGAGACGCGGCCACGGAGGGAGGAAGAGAGAGGCAGGCTCACTCGAACGGTGACCGCACGCACTTACACACACGGACGCCTTCCCATCAAAGCGCAGAAGGCGACGCTACCGCACACAACCACACATGGCGCGTTCCAGAATGGTCCCCACCTTCGTTGGATTAAGACAATGGTATCGAAGACGCCTAAGGCGAATCACCGCCGCCCCCTGCCTTTGTGGAAGCGCCTATGGCCGAACGTTGAGGCCAGACCTGCCAAGCTATCTGACCATTTGTTCCCCGAATCGGTTTGGAAAGCTTTCGGGGCACACGTGGGCATCTTGATGGTCATCTTGGCCGCCTGGAGGCCATGTTGACCCTTTCGGGCCTTCTTGGAGGACGTCTTGGAGACCTCTTGGACCGTCTTGGAGGCCATCTTGAGCGTCTTGCAGGCCTCTTCGGCCGTCTTGGGGGCCTCTTGGGGCCGTCTTGGGCCTCTTGGGCGATCTTTGGGGGCACTTGGGCCGTCTCGGGCCGTCGGAAGGCAGAAACAAAGCAAATGCCACACTCCTTCAAAAACTCGATGGGAAACCACTGATTTGGGCCTTTTCGGGGTTTCCTGGAGGCCTTCTTGGAGGCCTCCTTGGCAGTCTTGGGCCATCGTTGTGCCATCTTCGGCCGTCTTGGTGGGCCCCTGGCCCGTCCGACGCCGTCGGAAGCCGTTTGGGGGGCCTCTCTGAGCCGACTTGGGGCCCGCTTGGAATGCTCCAGGGCCGTCTTGGAGGCCATCTTGGGCGTCTTCAAAGCCTCCTGGGCCGTCTTGGGGGCCTCTTGGGGCTGCCTTGGGGGCCTCTTGGGCCGTTCTGGGGCCATCTTGGAGGCCTCTTGGGCGATCCGTGGGCGATCTTTGGGGGCTTTTGGGCCGTATCGGGCCGTCGGAAGGCCGAAACGACGCAAATGCCAAAATCCGTCGAACACCTACGGAATCAGTGTTTTTGGCCTTGTCTGGCCTTCCTGAAGGCCCTCTTGGAGGCCTCTTGGGCCGTCTTGGGCCAGCTTCGAGCCAACTTCGGCCATCTTGGTGGGCTCCTGGCCCGTCTGACGCCGTCGGAAGCCGTTTGGGGGGCCTTTCTGGGCCGACTTGGGGCCCTCTTGGGGTGCTCCAGGGCCGTCTCAGAGGCCATCTTGGGCGTCTTGGAGGCCTCTTGGGTCGTCTTCGTGCCCTCTTGGGGCTGTCTTGGGGGCCTCTTGGGCAGTCCTGAGGCCATCTTGGAGGCCTCTTGGGCGATCCGTGGGCGATCTTTGGGGGCTCTTGGGCCGTACCGGGCCGTCGGAGGGCCGAAACGACGCAAATGTCAAAATCTTTCGAGCACCTATGGAAACCAGTTTTTTTGTTATGCCTTTTCTGGCCTTCCTGGAGGCCCTCTTGGAGGCCTCTTGGGCCGTCTTGGGTCGTCGGAAAGCCGAGAAGAAGCGAATGCGAGCATCCTTCAAAAACCAAAGGAGGGTCAATGATTTTGGCCTCTTCGGGCCCTGCTGGAGGACCTCTTGGAGGCCTCGTGGGCCGTCTTGGAGGCCTCTGGGGGGCCTCTGGGGCCGTCTTCGGCCGTCTTGGATTCTTGGGTCGTATGGGAGGCCATCTTGGACCATCTTGGGCGGACTTGGAGGCCATCTTGGACCATCTTGGAGGCCATCTTGCGCCAACGTGGCTATCTTGGAGACCATCTTGGGCCATCTTGAGCGAAACATTGGGAGAATTCGTGGCTTTTTGGGTGGCCGGCGGGATGGGCCGAAGCCCCAGGGCGTTTTTTTGGAAAAAGAACAACAACCCAAACCGAAATAATTTAGCACGCCAAGCACCCCTGCGATGAATCGACAGGGGGCGGCGGATCGAAGACGCCTACGGCGAAACACCGCCGCCCCCTGCCTTTGTGGAAGCGCCTATGTGGCCGAACGTTGAGGCCAGACCTGCCAAGCTATCGGACCATGTGCTCCCTGAATCGGTTTGGAAAGCCTTCGGGACACACGTGGGTATCTTGAGGGTCATCGTGGCCGCCTGGAGGCCATTTTGACTCTTTCGGGCCTTCTTGGAGGACGTCCTGGAGGGCTCTTGGGCCGCCTTAGAGGCCATCTTGCGCGTCTTGGAGGCCTCTTGGATCGTCTTGGCGGCCTCTTGGGGCCGTCTTGGGCCTCTTGGGCGATCTTTGGGGGCATTTGGGCCGTCTCGGCCATCGGAAGGCCGACAAAAACAAAGGCCACAATCCTTCAAACACTCATGGCCTTTTCGGGCCTTCCTGGAGACCCTCTTGGAGGCCTCTTGGGCCGTCTTGGGCCATCTTAGTGCCATCTTCGGCCGTCTTGGTGGGCCGCTTGGAATGCTCCAGGGCCGTCTTGGAGGCCATCTTGGGCGTCTTCAAAGCCTCTTGGGGCCGTCTTGGGGGCCTCTTGGGTCGTTCTGGGGCCATCTTGGAGGCCTCTTGGGCGATCCGTGGGCGATCTTTGGGGGCTTTCGGGCCGTATCGGGCCGTCGGAAGGCCGAAACGAAGCAAATGCCAAAATCCTTCGAACACCTACGGACAATCAGTGTTTTTGGCCTTGTCTGGCCTTCCTGGAGGCCCTCTTGGAGACCTCTTGGGCCGTCTTGGGCCAGCTTCGAGCCAACTTCGGCCATCTTGGTGGGCTCCTGGCCCGTCGGAAGCCGTTTGGGGAGCCTTTCTGGGCCGACTTGGGGCCCTCTTGGGGTGCTCCAGGGCCGTCTCAGAGGCCATCTTGGGCGTGGAGGCCTCTTGGGTCGTCTTCGTGCCCTCTTGGGGCCGTCTTGGGGGCCTCTTGGGCAGTCCTGAGGCCATCCTGGAGGCCTCTTGGGCGCTGTGGGGGCAATGTTGGAGGCCTCTTGGGCCGTCTTGGGCCGTTGGAAAGCCGAGAAGAAGCGAATGCGAACATCCTTCACACACCAAAGGCAAGTCAATGATTTTGGCCTCTTCGGGCCCTCCTGGAGGACCTCTTGGAGGCCTCGTGGGCCGTCTTGGAGGCCTCTGGGGGGCCTCTTGGGCCGTCTTGGGCCGTCTTGGACTCTCTTGGGCCGTCTTGGAGGCCGTCTTGGACCATCTTGGGCGGACTTGGAGGCCATCGTGGAGGCCATCTTGGGCCAACGTGGCCATCTTGGAGGCCATCTTGAGCCTTCTTGGAGAATTTTTGCGGACGTTGAGGTCGTTTCCGGTCCTGGAAGAGCCTTCCGGGACCCTGGCGGGACGGGCCGAAGCCCCAGGGGGAGTTCTTGGGGAAAAAGATCCCAAACCAAAACCGAAATAATCTAGCACGCCAGGCACCCCTGCGATGAATCGACAGGGGGCGGCGGATCTTTTTGCTTCGGCCCATCCCGCCACCGTGCCTGGGTTGTGGGCCATAGGCCTCGAGGATGTTCGTTGCAATGTCGCAGGAGGTCTTTCTGAGGCCTCGTGGAGGCAGTTTGGAGTCCTCTTGGAGGCCGTTTTGAGTCTTGAGGCCTTTTGGGGGCCTCTTATGGCCTCCTGGGGGCATCGTGCGACGGAAGGCTCGAATTGTCGGTTCGTGTTCCCACTCTTGGGCCACTTTGAAGGCCGTCTTCGGCCTCTCTTCGGGCTGTCTTGGGCGCCTCTTGGAACCTCTTGGGGCCCTCTCGGGAGCGTGCTGGTGCAGTCTTGGGGGCCTCTTGGGCTGTCCTCAACGCCGTGAAGGCCGAAAAGTCCTACAAGCTAGAAGCGCATGCTTCCCTAAGGGAATGAAGCGACTTGAGTGTATTGGGGCTGTCTTTGGGTTATTATTGGAGGCGTCCTGGTGTGTCTTCCGACTGGAGGCCATCTCGGGCGTCTTGGACCGATCGTTCGTTCGCTCGGAGCCCTCTTGGGCCGTCTTGAGGGCCGCCAGGGCAACTCTTGGCTCGTCTTGGGGCAGTCTTGTTCTCGGGAAGGTCGCGCGGCAACGCTCCCCCGGGGCCCAGGGGCCACGCGCCAAGCCCAGGAAATTCTGGCAATTTTTGAGGTCCGTTCCGTCCGAAGAGCCCCCAGGATTGAGGATCGGGGCTTGGGGAATCGATCAAGGGAGCTGAGGGCACTCCAACTTCGGGCTACGAAATCTATACACATCCACTGCTCCCTGACCATGCCCATCCTGAACCCAGGAGCTGTGTGTACGCCCTCCTGGCCAAACCAGGAGGGCGTGGCGTATACACCGCTGCGGGGTTGAGGATGGGCCTGGCCAGGGAGCAGTGGATATGTATAGATTTCGTCGCCCTACAACTTGTGCCCGAAGGCCCGGTGGCAGATGTCTTCCTCGGCGAAGGGCGGCGGGAGTGGGCGGAAGTGGAACGAGGACGTCCCCGCTGGCAGAATCCGCGGAGGTAACATCGCCCCCAGCGATGCCGCTTTTGGGGTGTGCAGGGTGTCCGCAGCGGGCCACATCTTAAGCCCGAGCCGGCACATACCTTCAGGCTTGGGCAACAATGGCTTCCTCGGTGCAATCGAGGTCTTCTCGCAAGCGGCCGTCGAGATATACTTCGACAATTGGGAGGGCTGCAGGGACGCCTACGGCCTCAACACTGGCGAGGACTGATCGACGACGACGCAGGACGATGATAGAGACGGTGGTAGCGGCGGACGGCGGCGGGCGATATTTGCCAGGACGGATTTTTCAAGGGTTGCATGGACTCCCTCGGCGTGGGCTTCATGACTGACGTGAACATTTTCAAGCCAGATTTCTCCCCAGGCCTGTGGGCTGAAGCTTTGCGGCTACTCCTCCTGACCCTTCGGCCTCGGGCTCCTCATCCTGGTCACTCCTCGGCGGCGGTGCAGTGGCTTGCGGCCCACTCCGCCACCGTGCCTGGCTCATTGGCCAGGGACCCCTTGGAGGCCTCCTTAGGTCTCGGGGGTGGTTCTCTCGGAGGCTTCCTGGGGCCACTACTTTGGGGCATGTTGGGAGACTCTGAGGGCTACCTGGGGGCCACTACTTTGGGGGCTACTTGTCATATCAGGGGGCTACTTTGGGGGCTACGCTGGAGAACCTCTGGGAGCCATACCTTAGGGGCTACTCCGGAGGCATCGAGCTTATCCTGTGCACCTCTGGGGGAGGCGCCCGGGGAGGCTTTGGGCCCGCGGGTGGTCGGCGTGCCGTGTGAGCGCGTCGGGCGTCTCCCAGGACGTCGGGGCGGCATCTGGTTCTCCGACCTCCAGCCTGAGGTCGGGAGACTATTGGTCGGGAGGCTATTGTTGAATCACCATTGGTCGGGAGACTACTGGTCCCTCTACGAGGAAGATTGACAACATAATCAACAATATGGTCAGGAGGCCATTGGTGAATCTGGTTGAGCACTTTTCTGCCAGTTTGTTTTGTTCTCGTCCCAAGTCAGCCTGTAGCAGGACACGCCCGACCTCATGCTGGCCTCCGGGAGCCCCATTTGGGGGGCCACAGGGCACGGCCTCCCGCAGTCGGATGTTGCGTCGCTCGGACGCGTGCACCTTTGTTCGCCGAGGCCAGCGCCAGGGCATCATGGAGCATCTTGGAGCAGCTTGGGCCACCCTCTGCCTGCTGCTGCTGCTGCTGCTGCTCCTCTTCCTCCTCCTGCCGCCTCCTCCTCCTCCTCCCTCGTCCTCCGCCTCCCTCTCTTCCTGCCCCTCCACGTCCTCCTATCTCCGCCTCCTCCTGCCTCCTCAGCGAAGCAGGAACGCACGACACCGAAGCACACACGGGGAATGAACGTCCGAGCGATGGTGGGGCCCAGGCGGCCTCAGACCTGGAGGAGTCCTTGCAGAATGCGGGCAGCGTGGTGGTGCTATCCATTGCTAGGTCCACGATCGGAGTTCCACTGGCTTCCAGACCATCCAACGGGTCCTTATCCAATGCCCTCACCGTGCCCGAAACGTCGCGTTTGGAAGGGGCTCCTTGGTCCTCGGGTCTATTCATGGGTGCCCCTCTAGGGTGTCTCGTGCACCCAGGCGCTTTGGAGGCCAAACCGGGGCTTCGTTCCTGGTCCAGGTCTTCATGTCGGTGGGGGAGGCGGGAAACAGCAGAGAGGGAGTGGGAGGGTTTGAGGGAAGGGAGGACGTTTGGAATAGCTTCTATACATTTGAAGCATGGCTCTCGGAGACCATGGGGCTTCTCGGGTGATGGGAGCCGGGGAAAGACGAAACTCGAGGATGATTGGCGAGTGAGTTCTGAAATGGAGTGTGGGGGAGGCGGAAGAGGGCGATGAACAAAGAGGGGGCTTACAGGAGGAGGAGCTGGACATCTATACCCAACTCCCAGCGACCAAGTTTTCCCACAGTCAAGCTGCCACCTGCCCACCCCCTTGTTCTCCCCTCTTCCTTCTCCTCCCCGTCCCCATCCCCTTCAGGCGGATGCGCCAACGGGGGCATGGTAGGGTTCCACCCGCTGAAGGAGGTTAGTCAGTGGCGGTGCTGCTGGGACATCGTCATGGGCAAGAACAGGAAGGCCGACTCCTGTGGGAGGGCGGATGGTGATCACGGCGGTGATGATGATGAGGAGGAGGAAGAGAGGGAATTGGGGGTTGGGAGGAGGGTGAGGAGGAGGCAGGGAAAGCATGGAGGGAACGGTGGGGCGGGAGGAACCTAGAGTTTATTTCATCCCACACAGATTCATGCATTGAGCACTGATGTCATTATTACCACCATGTCGCCAAATCTGTTTGAGACTTGGGCACAGTCATTTGATCAGGATGGCTTGCGGCTTTTTCCGCTGCCATTGGCGCCCTGAGCAACAAGTGCCCTCTACCATTGGCACATGGGGCTACTCTGCGAGACTATCATATCGAGGGGAGTTGGGCTGGTATACGTCCTGTAGCTCATCAGCCGAGGAGGCTTTACACGAGTTGGCTGAGGAAAACGGCGTCTGTTTGGGTTACTGTCTTCGTTTCAGAAGGCTTCTCAGCCCGAGGTAGCTGAATTTGCCAACGCTTTCACAGCAAAGTAGGATCGCTCGCGGTGCGAATACCGGAGAAGCCCTCGTGGAGACCCTGGCAAAAGGACTGCACAGCCAAGCTGTGTGGCGCACTGGGTATGCACCAGCAGCTCGCGCCGGTCCCTCTCTACAGCCACGATGCGTGCGTCTGAGGCGGGGGATGGGCTCAGGGGGGATGCATGGACCTCCAATCGGCCACTGATCGCCGATAGAGGCCCGATGGCCCACCCCGCTATCGGGGGCCCAGCGGCGATCTATCGGCGACTACTCGCCAGTTCCAGGTCGATGTTCCCTCCCAGCCAGCCCCCCCCATCGTTGCCCCTCAACCTGGTCGCAAGAGCGGCCAAGTGGACGTCAAGGGCAGGCGGCGAGGCCGCGCCCACAATGCTCGCGAGTGAGCGCTGCGAGACGCGGCAACGGTCCTGCGACGGCGGCACCCTCGCCGCCCCCCCTCCTCAGCCCCCAGACCTCCGGCGCCGTGGCTCTCTCCGAGGCCCGGGGCTCCCAGAGCCCTTCCCAGGGATGCGCTGCTGCGCCGTACCTGTGCTCGGACGGCCCCCAGAGGTCAGCAGCCCGGAGCAGATCCCGGGCCCTTGAGGTGGGGCATCGGCCTATCTCGGTGCAGATCTTGAATTCAATTCCTCGCCCAGCCTCTGAGGCTTCGCCCAGCTTGAGGAGCAACTCCTGGGAGGTTCAGCTCAGCATCGTCGCTGGTAGATCCGTGGTCGAAGCCTGGGCAAATCTTGGATAGGCCCGTTCGATTCAATGTATGATAGAGCGCGCGCGTGGGGCCCGATAGACTAAAAGGGGGGCCCCAGCTTGAAACTACCCCCCTCCCCCCTTCCTTGCTAAAGGGGGGGGGGCTTCGGAAGCCCCCCCCCCTCCCCCCCTTTTCGTGGTTCGGAAAGGGGGGGGGGGCTTCCAAGCTACCCCCCCCTCCCTCCCTTTAATTGAGCCGGGGTGAGCCACCCCCCCCCCTTTGAAAGGGCGGGGGGCTTCGGAAGCTACCCCCCCCCCCTCCCTTTTCCTGGCCGGAAAGGGGGGAGGGGGCTTCCAAGCTACCCCCCCCCCTCCCTCCTTTTAATGGAGCTGGGGTGAGCCACACCCCCGCTTTGAAAGGGGGGGGCTTTGGAAGCCCCCCCCCCTCCCTCCCTTGGTGCAAAAGGGGGGGCTTGAAGCCCCCCCCTCCCTTCCCCCCTTTGGCCGCCCAGCTCCCGGAGCCATCGCCCTCCCTTTCGCCTCCATTTATTCCCGCCCCTCTCCCTCCTCCTCTTCTTCCTTTTGCCTCCTCCTCTTCCTCGTCCTCCTCATCCTCCTCATAGTCATCATCGTCATC